GGGGGGGGGGGGAGGAGGGCAGGGAGGCAATGGGGTGATAGTGAATCTCCTAAAAGCCTTTGGCACTGCTCAGTTCCTGCCGTATTAGCACAGACGTAGTTGGGTTGTGCTGGCTTTTTTCTCTTCCCTTTCCTTTTTTTTCTTTTTTTCTTTTTTTTTTTTTTCCTCAAGCCCACTGAGGCAGAGAAGAGGCAAACTCAGCCATAGGAAGGTGGTTAGTGATGTCACAAGTTAGATCTTTTCAATAAAAGCAATGGAGAAGGGTCTCCCTCACTATATATATTAGGGGACGCTTATGTTCTTCATAATAAAAGGAGCAGCAAGGGAGAAAAGCACCTGCTTTTAACAGCCTTTATTTAACCCTGATCTGTTACAGGCAGAATTAAAGCTCCGTAGGCTGGATTTTTGAAAAGTATTGCCTTTTTTTAAAAATTAACTTCCTTGCTTTTTTTTTGCTTTTTTCTTTTCTTCTTCTTAAGAATAGAACATAGTTTGGGAAGCGATTGCTGAGAAGAGCAACCACTGTTTGCCAGGGTGATCTCTGAGAGGCACAGTCAGCTGTAAGTCAAAGAAAAGGTGAAGTGATAAATTGTGAAGAAACTTCAGGATTCTGAGTTTATAGAAGCTATTTATTTTTCCTGAGTTTGTAAAGGATGGTGTGTGTTGGTTTTTGATGTATTTTTTAAAATTTTTAATTTCTGGGGGAGAGGAAATTCTATAAATATTTGATGAACGTTTTACTTTTAACATGAGCAATGCACCAATGAGTGTGGGGGGGATATTTTCAGAGGACCTTACAATTATTTTTAATTAGTTGAAAGAACTGTGTAAATCAAAGACGGCTATTAGCTATACATTTTAGTTTATAGACTACTAGCTGTTCAGGGAATTTATTTACAGCATAAACGATTTAAGGTTTTCAGGATGATTTCTGTTTCAGCTCTTATGCTGTAGGTTTTATTTGCCTGTGTGGTGTGGAATATGGATTTTTAAATTGTGGCAGCAAGCGTCATTTAACTTAAAATGAGCTGCAGGTAGACAAACGCTTTGCTTTCCGCCTAAAACTTCAACAGTGAGTCTGCTTTAATTCTAGGTCAGGATGAGAAGGAGCCATCAGCCGGCACGCCTCAGTGTTGTGTTGCGGCTTGTGAGGGTGTTGGGAAAGCATTCCCTGTAAATCAGGCTGTCAGCGGCATAACCAGCGACCCCGGTCCCCCCGCCGAGGTCTCTGGGAGGGGCGAGGCCTCCCGGGACGCTGCCGGGACCGAGCCGGCGCCCCCAGGTGTGCGCTGCCGCGGTCCTGCCCGCACCGTCGAACTTGAGGATATCGGCGTGCAGGGCATTTCCTGCAGGAAAGGCGCCGGAGGTGGGGGCAAGGGGCGCACTGTCCCCCTCGGCTCTGTCCCGGAGTCCCCTTGTAGCAGCCGGAGGTAGTTTCGAGCGCGAACAGGCTGGAGAGACGGGCGGGCTGCGTTACCTTCGAGTTTCACGCAAATGCTGTCCCGGGATGGAAAAGTTTGGTGCCTCCATCGGGGGGTGTGGGGCTGTCGGCCGGCGGTTCCCGGCGGGGCTCGGGGGTGACCAGGGGTGACCGGCAGCCTCCCGCGGCTCCGGCCACCGCTGTCCCCGCAGCCCTGCGGTGCTGCCCTCCTCTCACGGGAGCGCAACCTGACGCAGCGGTTTGCAGCGCCGTGGCCAGGCTGAAGGAGAGCGAAGTGGAAGGCGAAAAAGGGAGAGGAGGAGAAAACTTTCCACTAGTTTCTGTTTTTGTCCAGGAGCGCCTGTGTTCATAGACCGCGAGTCCTTCCCCTAGCCCTCCCCCTTAGCTCCCCCCTCTCCCTTCACTAGCATACAATTAGCATCATTAAGAACCGACCCTCCGACGGCGACCAACAACGGTAGGTGCGTGTAAAGTAAGGCGGCAGCAGACCCGGGCAGCGCTTTGGGGCTTGAGCTAAAAAGTGCTCCCGCCGATGGGAGGAATCCCCGCGGCAGGGGAGATGATGACCCGGGGATAAACAGGAAAAGGGAGAGCTGGAAGGTGAGCAAGAGAGGAGCGCTGCTGCAGAAGATGCGGAGAGCTTGGCCGAAGTTATTGAGGTCCGCTGAGTGCATGTGCAGCCGGGTGTTCCCTTTTCTTCCCTCATTTTTGATTTGGGCCCGGGAACCGCTGATTTCCAGTCTCCCTTTAGGTTGCGGGTGTCCCGTCCAGGCTCTCGCTCTCTCCGCACATGTTCCTAGGGCGCCATCTCTTTGCAAAACCCTCCGTCCTCCCGCAGGTCTCCCAGAGGCTGCTCCGGAGCGTGTGAACATCGCAGGCTGCAGCCCAGTCCAACCTGCCGAACCAAGCATGCTTCCCAGCCCCTGAGCCTCCCGGGCTACCGCTCCTCCCAGACCTCTCGGGCTCTCCAGACAGGCAGCAACCTTTGCTTGCCTTTCCTTGTCACCGCTTGTCTCTCTTCTTATCACTGTTGGGGACCAAAACTTTCCAGCAGCTGGAGACGTGAACCTGACCCTTTTTCTTTGCAAAGGTATACTGAAAGACAGATGTGGAGGTGCATTCCCCCCCCGCCTCAGCCTGTGTGTGTGTTATTGTGTCCGCGCGTGTGTTTACAGAGAAGTGAGCAGCTGAGCTGACTTTTGGGAATCTTTCCTCATCAGAGTGGGCTTCTGCTGTAACACAGAGTTCTGAGAGAGTGGCGTAGCGGACTAGAACTAAGCAGGGCTCAGGGAACTCCCTGGACCCCGCTCTAACCCTGTTCAAATGAGAGCTAGATGGTTTTTGAACTAATGTCGCGAGAGATCTTGCCTGCGGGCAGCGAGGGAGGGAGGGAGGGAGGGAG